GCGTGGTAAAGTTAATGGAATCGACTGGAAAGAGTTTGCGCCAAGGATCGAAGACTATAACAATGTTGTGGCTAAAGCAATCGCTGGAGGTACAGGGCAGATCATTAGAGGAATGTTCAAATGCAGTAATGCTTACACTAATCAGGTTTATTATAATCATAACTCTCATTAAATTCTTAATTGAGACTTGCGCAATTCGGGTAATTTGGGTACGGAGGCGTAAACTATTACTATCTAAGTGTGTATCTTTAGATAATTCGGGTATTGGACATGGAGCGGTTAAATAGAGTATGTAATATCACTCAGGCCTGATATCACTATCCGAATGTCATTAGATCGGGTTTGAATTGAGCTATTTCGGATAATGTTATGAGAGTTTTGAATAACTTTAAAATGTTTTTAGTTTAGGAAATTTTGATCACCTAAATGGTAACTCGGATTCCTTAGATAATTACTCAAAACGAATAATTTTAGTAACTTTACCCGAAAAAGTTCGGGTTATTAGGATCGGATAGGGATAGGGTTAGGGTTGAGTGACCGGATCCGAATGCCACATGCCTAGATATTATACTCAAATTATGAATCTTGGGCATTGTTCAATGAGAGAACAGGTTCACAAAGGAGGTGAGACTATGATTACTAAGGCTGAGAAGAAGAGTGGTGCGTCGTCACAAAGAAATGCAACCACAAATAAGAACCAAATCAACAAGAACCTTCAACGGTATTACTAATAATTTTCCCATAAGAGTGATTCTTGCTCATCTTTTTTACTCTTAGTGAACCATATGTATATAGAGTGAGGAAACTTTCGAGAGCGACCGAGAAATTGAGCAAGACGATGTTGAATGGTGTGGGAGTGGTGAGTGGCTCTGTGATGGGTCCTATTGTGAAGTCAAAGCCAGGGAAAGCTTTTTTCTCAATGGTTCCAGGGGAGGTTCTCTTGGCTTCACTTGATGCTCTTAGTAAGTTAGATTACTATTTATTTACTCAACTCAATTAGCATAACTATGATGATACTAAAAATGGTTTGATATGATTTTTCAAAATTAGATAAAATACTTGATGCTGCTGAAGCAGCAGAGAGACAAACTCTTTCTGCTACATCTAAAGCTACTACCAGAATGGTTAGTGAAAGGTAAGTTCTCAACTTTGGATCATATTAAAGGTTTGTATCTAAATTGATGCTTGAGTAAATGTATCGCATTTAAACATGGACAGGTTGGGTGAGAGCGCGGGGGAAGCCACAAAAGACGTGCTAGGCACGATGGGCCACGCGGCTGGTACTGCCTGGAATGTGCTCAAAATCCGCAAAGCTTTCACTCCTTCCTCTTCACTCACATCCAGTATCCTAAAAAACGCTTCACGAAAGTGATCTTTGTTTGTATTTCATGTTTGGATAAAACTATAATTATATATGTATGAGCTATGAAGAGACTTAAAAACAGAAATTTGCAAAGTAATCTTTGAATCTCAAACAAATTAAGACACTTTATAAAATAAAATAAAAATTTTGTTAATCAAACAACTAAACTGCCAAAATCAAATCTTGGAAATTTCTTTAAAACTATCAAAGACAAAGATGATCATTAAAACAGATGCATATCCGCTAGCAATAGGATTTAATGCAGAGCCTCCGTTTCTTGTCCCTGGTCGATGAACCATACTGCCTGTTCCGATCCCATGTCCTCTTCCTTCTTCTTCTTCTCCATGACCACCTCCTCTACTACTGTAACCTCCTCCTTTACTACCATGGCCGCCTCCTCCAACACTGTGGCCTCCACCACCACCTCTCGCAACGACGGTGGTAGACGTGAAGAGAAGTAAGATGATGACAAGCAGGACGGTGTAATTGGTAACAAAGTGAGCTTGAGTCTTGGTGTTTCTCATGGTATTATCAAAACCTATATGCGTACACTATCTTTGATTCTTGAATTGTTATACCTTAAAACGAAGAGAAAAAGAATCTGTTATCGTGAGGTAAGATGCTTTTGCCTCTATATAAATATATGTAACACACATTCATTAAAGTATTGTTTCCTTTTTGTTCGATATATATATATTGATAACGGCTAACATTAACTTATGATTATTAAAAAAAAAATAGTTTCAAAACTTATTGTTTTCTTTTTGAATATATATACATATTAAAAAATGTATAGTTTCCTACTTATCTTAACCGCCTATATACAGTAAGTGTATATGTGTATTGGTCGATTAATCGAATGGAATAATAGAGAATTTTGATTTTAATTTTTTCCAACTTCAAGCATTGAGTTTTAGCTCTTCAAAGTTTCACTAGATCTTGGTTTTCTTTCTTGGACGACAACCTTAGATATTGAGCATTTTAGGTAATTAAAAATGCAATATTGTTATAAACTTTAGTAAAATAAAAAAAATGATTAAAGAGATAAAATTTATCACATTCCATTAAAGCAAAAGTCATGATGATTTGATTTGAATATTTGAGACATATATTAAGGAGAAGTATTTATATGATCGATTAATCACCAGATTTATATAACTCAATGATACACATACACTCACAGTCATCAAGTATTCTAAACTTCCTAGAAGGGATTAGCATAACTGAGATTAGGTGCAATATTAAAATACTAATGGTGGATTATCATAAACTAGATGAAGGATCCGCATATATGCGGGTTTGTG